CTTCCCCACTTTCCATCTCCCCTCAGCCACCACAGGCTTCTGACCCCTGCCCCCCACTCCAGAACTGAGCTCATGGAGGTGACTACCCTGGGGTGAGCAACCACTTTGGTCTGCCTGGGACTTTCACAGCTAGAACTTGGAAAGCCCCTGGCTGCCCGGGATAGCTGGTACCTTCTGCCCGGCCCCTCGGTGCTAGCCTGAACCGTCCCAGCCTTCTCACTGGCACTGAGCAGGGTCCCTCCTAGGCACGCCGCACCCTCATAAGCACCTGTCCCCAGGCCCGTCCCTCAGGCCTCCTGAACATTTCCCAAAGTCTCCTCAAGCCCCCGCCAGGCCCCTCCGAGTCTGCCTGCTGACAGAGGACAGCAGCTGTGCCACGCACACGCACACAGATTGCATCGAGGCCCAGTGAACTCAGGAACTGGGTTTTAGGTATCTCTGGGGATCAATCAACTCTTCTACCTCTGATTCTCAAAAATTCTTAAGATCTATATTTCATTTTTTTCTTCTTTTTTAATTTATTTGAGAGGCAGAGTTACAGAGAGAGGGAGAAACAGAAAAACGTCTTCTATCTTTGGTTCACTCCCCAAATGGCCACAATGGTCGGAGCTGAGCTGATTTGTAGCCAGGATCCAGGAGCTTCTACCAGGTCTCCCACATGTGTGCAGGGGCCCAAGCACTTGGGCCATCTTCCACTGCTTTCCCACAAAAGCAGAGAGCTGGATCAGAAGTGGAGCAGCCAGGACACGAACCGGCACCCATATTGGATGCCAGTGCTGCAGGTGCAGGCTTAGCCCACTATGCCACAGCGCCGGCCCCAAGATCTGTATTTCTTATCCTCATTTATCAGTTGAAAAGCAGTTGCATGTTCTGAGCACAGACTGTAACACGAGGAGTCCTTGGCCCATTCAGCAGATGAGCCCACTGAGGCCCAGGGCTCTGTTTCCTCCGCTCTCCTGCAAGGGAGCCTCTCAGAGACCTGCCTCGGTCAGGGTTGCCTGCATCCTCACCCAGTGTCCCAGTCTTGTTGCTAAGGGGTCACTTTCCCATTGGCTCCAGCTTTGCATGGTGGTTCTGTTGCCATGACAATGCATCAACCTAAAGAGTGTGTGTGTGTGTGTGTGTGTGTGTGTGTGTCAGAGAGAGAGAGAGAGAGAGTGAGTTTGGGAGGCCCTGCTGGATGCAGGGATGGGCATCTAATTGGTTTGATGGTTGCTAGGGTCAACAGGTCTGTGATTGGCTGACTCTGTTTATGTCTGTCCTAGAACCCTCTGGGGATGCAGCTGTTGCCCACTGAAGCCTGGCATGGTGGTGCACAGTGTGTGTGTGTGTGTGTGTGTGTGTGTGGTACACATGCGTGTACACTAAGCGGGAACAGCGAGGAGAGGCTGTAGCTCCTGATGCAGTGATAATGCACAGAGTCCTGCTGGAAGCAGGTAAGTGACGTTTTTCTCGGACTCATCCCCACTCCCCATAAATCACTAGAAAACGACGGCCGGGGCTCAGCCAGAGGAGGAGAGAGAAGGGGCTGCGCCCAGTCAGGCCCTGCCGCCCCACCACCCCCCGTACCCCGAAGCAGCCGAGCCACGTGGGTCAGCCCGTCTTGGGGCTGCTGCTGCTGCCTGCCCAGGACACACATCCTCGTGCGCGAGGGTCCCTGTTCTCAGCTTCTCGGTTCCCAGGGCCTCTCAGGACTCCCAGCACCCAGAGAAGGGCCTGCTTGCCAGACACTAATGATCTCATGCACATGCAGATGGTTTCACAGTTTACAAAGCACATTCACAGCTTTTAATTTGCACATCCTGAGAAGGCAGCCAAGCACACCACTCCCATTCTGCTGAACGGGAAGACTGAGGCCTGGATAAACGAAAGGACCCCTGCACCCGAGGGGCAGAGGCTCTCTGGCCTCCCAGGTGCCCCTTTAGTGCCGTAGGAGACTGTGCCTGGCTGCTGGCGGGTAGAGGCGGGAGCGGAGGGGAGCCTGCAGCCTTGCGCTGCAAGGGAGGCCTCTTCCCTCTGTGTTGGCCCGGCTTCTCCCGTCTGGATGCCGAGCCTCCTGGGGGAAAGCGAGGCAGACCGGAACTTTGGGTTTTAGAAGCTATTCGAAGGCTGCCCACACAGTCTGTGCGGGAGAGCCGCTCAGCCCCAGGCGCCTGGAGCTGTCTTCCCTGCAGAGCAGTGGCACGGGGTGGGCGGGCAGGAGGAGGGGAGGATCGGAGCAGAGGAGTGCAATGGCCACTGCTGCTGAGCTGGCTATCGGCCATCGGCCATCGTCACAGCGCAGCTGCCGGGGCCGCGCCGGCCTCCCAGGGACGCCACAGGTGCTTGAGGCAGGCAGAGGGAAAGGGAGCTGCAGGCCCTCAGGGTGCAGGCCCCAGGAGCCAGGGTGCCAGGGACAGCGCGCAGTTGAGGGTCTCCCCTCTGCCCTCTGCCTGGACGGAGTTACGGGGCTGCAGAGGGAATTGGCACTCACTGAAACTTCACACCATCCCCGAGAGAGCGGCCAATGCCATCTGCACGTGACACACACAACGTGGAGGCAGAGATGTGCCCAAGGTCGCGCGATCCGTAGGCCTTGCCTGGTGGGGCGGCGGGGTCCAGTGTGGCCCCTCCGTGGCGAGAGGACCCAGGTGATGCTGCTTCTACTGGACTTGTTGAGATGCTTGGAAAGAAAACTGGGGGAGGGGTGAGGTGGGGAACCCCCAAAAGGCTTGGAGGGAACTGTTGGATGGGCACAGACAGGGAGCAGAAACATTAAGGCAGCCCAAACACCACAACCACTCAGGCCCCTGCTGTGCACTCCCCGGCCCATGAGCCCCGCCCACACACAGACAGCTACTCCACCTGGCTCCCCTCTCACCTGCCCATCCCCACAAGTCCTCTCGTGGAACTGCCAAGGCTCCCTACGGACACTCATCTGACACCACGAAACAAGAGAATGCCTTCAAAACTGACAACTTCAGAGATTCGGAAATGTAGCCCCATGTCGGGGGTGGGGGGACCGCCCAGTGTCTGAGCCGGTGGCCGGCCCCACACCGTTTAGGGTTAGCTCCTTTGCCCCAGCCATAGGGGCCTGTTCCTCTGCACATCTCTCTGCATGAGAACAGGGATTGAGGTTTAAAATCATCCTGATAGCCCAAGGACCCAGCCTAGCTTGGGCACAAAGCAGGTGCTCCACAAATGTTTGTTGAGTACACAAATGAGGGTAATTATACCTTGTACCTGTTGGGTCCCTGTTAGGAGCCAGGCCCTATGCATGGCAGATATTCTAATACGCACAATAACCACACCAGATCCAGCTCAGCATCTTTGTTCTACAGATCACAAAACTACACTCAGAAAGGTTAAGCCACCTGCCCCAGCTCACACAGCAACAGCAGAAGGAGCTCCAAGGCCCCCTGCTGCCTGTGGCTGCTGTGTCTCCAACCTTGCTGCTGCCGCTCGGGTTTGAGCTGTGGAGGGGTCCTCAGGCCCTCCGGCATCTGCCTCCCTCCGCCCTGTCCCCTCCAGCCCCGCCCCAGGCGCTAAGCTCTGTCCTCTAGGACTGCAGCCATGTTCTCCGGCCCCTGCCTATGGTGTCCGCTCTCTTGGAAAAACCGAGACGCCCTCTCTCCCCTCCCTGGTCCTCTCCTCCCGTAACCCTCAGCTCAGCAGAGCACTGACAGCGGGGCCCCAGCATGCTGTTCACTTCCCCGCCCCTTGCGGGTAAGGCCTTGTTAAGCGTTTGGGCGCAGAGAGCTGGCTGTTATTTGGCATCGAAGAGACGCTCAGAAAATGCTGCTGAGACCTCTTGACCCTATCCCTGCAGTTCTTGAAAACTCAACCCTTCAGGCCCGTTTTGTAACCTCTGGTAGACACGGTTTCTCTGCCACAGCCCTGCCCCCGTCCCTGCACGGCCACTCTGCTGCCCGCTCCCTGCTCCCCGCTATCCGACACACACACAGGGCAACAGACAGCAGGCTGCTTCCCCCGCCAATCCTGCAGGCTCTGGGTCCAGCCATGCTTTGCAATGCTTCAGCCTTTTTCTCAAGGGCTTTCCCAGGACACCTGCCTGCCCTGGCAGGAGGCACAGGGAGCAGGGAGCCAGGAGGCCCCTCCCGGGACGTCCCAGAGGACTTAGCCGTAGGTCACTCAGGCTCGGGGCCAGAGACTCCCTCCTTCTCCATCTCAGGCCACTGTTCCGCAGAAGGGAATGATTCTAACCCAACCCCTCATTCTGCCCCCAGGGAAAGGGGTTAAGCAGAAGCACCTCCACCCCGTGGGCCCTCCCACCCTCCAGAGAGCTTCCCTGCCTGGGGGCCCCCAGACTGCAGAGGCCACGCCCCCGGGGAGGCAGGAGGAAGCAGGGCTGTGAGGGGCCAGTGTCCGGCTTTGGGACCCCTGAGGTCAGATGCCACTGACCTGGTTTCTAATCACAACTTGCCAGTAACTGCTGGGCCTCAGTTTCCCTCCCCGTAAAAGGAGCACTGGCAGCCCAGAGATTCTGTAGGGCTCCTCCTGGGGTGATTCTCCCCTGGCCTGCAGGATTCATTCCAAAGGGCAAATCCAAGGACCCTTCCGGGTGGGAAGTGGCAAGGACAGTCCTGGACGGGTTGCCCTGAGGCGGGAACTTTGTCCAGAAACAGAAGTGACAAGTGTGGCTGCAGAGAGCACAGGGAGAGCCGCAGGGCTCCTGCTGTCAAGAAAATGACCGGCAGAACCCGTCCATGTGCGTCAGCTCCCAGGGCGCTGGGTGCTGGAAGAGGACACTCAGGCTCTCTGTCCTGGCTGACCCTGGCCAGAGGCCCTCACGCCCCAGTCAACGCTCTCAGGTCTGGGGAAAGCCAGGCCCAGGAGCGAAACAGGAAGACGCACTTGGACCCTGGTTCCAGAGTGGGAGAAAGGGGTGGGCACCGGGCAGAGGGAGCCCCGGGGATTGGCAGCGGCCGTGGGCAGGGCGGGAGGGCCGGGGGAGGAGTCAGCTGTGCACGTGAAAAACTGCGGCGGGGGCGGGGTTTCCCTTCCTCCTCTTCCTCCTCCTCCTCTTCTTCCTCCTTCTCCTCCTCCCTCCTCTTCCCCACCTTCCTCCACCCTCCCTTCCCCTCCCCTCCTCCTCCTCCTCCTCCGGCTCAGGTTGCAGCTTCTGGGACAGCGGCTCACCTATCCCGAGCCAGGGAAGCGGCTGAGCGCCGGCTAGGGACCCCAGCCCCGCGGGCCCCCGGCGGCCCCAGGACGCTCGCGGAGAGTCCCGCGGGCGGCGCGCCGGGGCCGGGGAGGTCGCAGGAGGGGGCACCGCGGCGCCGGGCCAGCGGAGCAAAGGTAAGCGGGCGGCTCTTAAAGGCGCAGGTCTGCTTTTGCCCCGGGGCAAGAGGTTGGAGGGAAAGACGAGCGACGTGGGGAGATCGCAGGTCACGAGGCGTGCGAGTAGATGTCTGGGGTGGGGTGGGGGACGCCTTGGAAAGCCGCTCCCCAGTGCCAGGTATCCCGGGAGGGGGGCAGAGTGCCACCCCGGACCCCCGCTCGCAGTCTCCTCCTGGGAGGCTGTGTGGCCTGGGCTCCTGGCTGAACCCCCCAAAGCTGAGTGTCCACCCAGGCAGGAGCCGGGCGCCTTCCAAGCGCCCTTCCTTCTGGGGGGCACCAGGGCCAGGACTCGCCTGCCACGCGAGGACCCGGGCGTGTGGGGCCAGGTCGCCGCCGGGCAGGGCTTTCCGGGCTCCGGTGAACTTTCCAGATCAGCAGGTCCCAGCAGCGGGAAGCTGCCTGCTCTGTCTGCCCATCAGGGAGGCCAGAGGGGCAGTGGACACAGGGTTTCTACGGCCTGGGAGCGGATGGAGGGCCCTGAGGGGCTACGGATTTGTGGCCCAGGGCATCCGCTGCGAGGGTGGGGTGGGGTGGGAAGGAAATCCGAAATGGGGAGCTGGGGCTCTGGGTGCTGCCGCCTGGAAGCCTTGTGATCTGTGTGCCCAGACGCAGTCACCGGTGGCCAGCCCCCCTGGGCCAGCCCCGTGAGATTCCTCATGCTCCTGTGTGTCCCTGCCCCCACCGCAGCCGCATTCCTGGACACTGAGCTGCTGGGGCAGAAGCCTCCCAGATGGCTAGAGAGGCTGCCCGAGGTCCTCAGACAGCCCCTGCCTTTACCCTGGGTGGGGCGGGCACAGGATGCAAGGCAGCGCTGGCGTCGGTTTGTGTTTGTGTCTGCAGGGTTCTAGAGAGAGGGTCACCTTGGCACAGCTGCGCTCCCGTCCCAGGACTGACCTGGGAGGTGTCCCTGGCCGTTGGGTTCCTGGGGCTGCCCCCACGGGTGCCCACGTCCTGCTGGGAGAAGTTCTTCTCAAACTTGGGGTTTCCAGAGCCAGAGTGGAGTGCAATAAGTTACATCTGATTTCTTTTAATTTTATTTTCTTGTTATTTATTGGGAAGGCAGAGAGACGGAAAGAGAAAGAGAAATCTGCTCTCTGCTGGTTTGCTCCCCAAATGACTGCAACAGCGGGGCTGGCCAGGTTGAAGTTGGGAACTGCACCGGGTCTCCCACACTGGGTGGCAGATCCCAGTGCGTGAGCCATCACCGCAGTGCACAGCAGCAGGAACCAGGAACTGCGGATGGAACCGGGACTTGAACCCAGGCACCTGATATGCCATGCAGGCATCGCAAGCTCCTCTTAACCACGAGGCCGACCGTCCACCCCATGGCTGACACCCAAATGCCTTGCTGGCTACCCTTTGTTGAATATCTGCCTTGTGCCAAGCAATATGTTACAACAGCTTTACAAACCAGGCATAATATCCCCATTTTATAGCTGAGCAAACTGAGATGCCAATTTTCCAAGGTGGCACGGAGGTAGGATTCATCATCTGCCCCCAACCCCCTGCCCGTCGCCGGCCGGTCCCAGCGCCCTCTGTGGAGGTGTCTGGTTCTGCATCCGTCCTCAGGAGAAGGAGGGGTGTGTGTGGTGGCGGTGGGGTTGCTTGGAGAGAGGCAGAACCAGGCTTCCGGTGGGTCGCAGGAGATAGGGCACTGGATCTGGGAGCGAGCAGGCTCCTGGTCCGAGATCTGGAGGGATCAGTGCACCTGCCCGGGCACCCTCACCTCAGGCACAGAGGGGTTGGAGCTGCGGCTGTTTCCTCCGCAGGCCCGGGCAGTGCTCTGCCTCCTTGAGACTTGTGCAGCCGCCGAGACGGGCACCACAGTGCCCTTCCTATGCCAGCCAGGCCTCTCCCTCCTGGGCCCCTGTTTTGGACTTGTCTGGCCTCTCCGTGGACCCCTCACAGGTCTTTCCTTCTGTAACCAAGCTTGGGAGCTAAAAGGGGGTGTGAACCCAGGGCCTTGTTGAAATCCACCTCCAGCTGCAGCTGCAGCTCCTATGAGCTGTGCATATCCTCCTCTCCCCAGCCAACTCTTGAACTTCCTCCAGCCTCAGTTTGCTCATCTGTGAAATGGGTACCATCATGGCGAGGGTTATCATGTGAATTCAGTGAAATAATGCACGGGCCCCAGCACATCACGGAGACCAAATAACTGGCAGCTGTTGCAACAGTGGTTGTTAGGAAGGGGAACTTCCTGGTGGTTGCACGGTGGCTGGCTCTGGGGTAGGGAGCAGGCTTTTCTACCCCATCAGACCAAGCCCCTCACCAGAACCTTTCCTGTTCAGGTGGGGCAGGAAGGCCCTGTGTAGGAGAATAAGCAGTGGTGGTGGTCAGAGACAGCCTGGATGGACCCTGTGCTTCAGGGAGCCTCCACCCTAGTTTGCAGAGCATGAGGGCGGTGGGCAGGGGGAGCTGGAGAACCGGCAGCCTCCTGCCCGAGATGCCGTGGCCGTGGCCTCCTCCCCTGGGGCGAGAGGACGTTCCCCCTGGAACCTCAGGGTCTGCCACCTCTGCTCTGCTCTGTTGTCCATGGGGGCATGGCTGGCCCGGGTCCAGATCCACCTGATTAGCTTTACCCCCTTGCGGCCCAGTCGAGTTTTCATCCCCAGCCCTGGGCCCCGCCCTGAGCCCTATTCTCCCCTGCCCCACCCTTCTTCTTCACCTTCACCCTGCAGGGATGCACTGCTGAGCCCCAGCTTTGCCATCTCCAGGGGGTGGGAGCAGACCAAAGTCAGCCCTGTCCTTGGCCCCCACAGACACACAGCACGACACAGGCTCGCAGCGGCTTGGGGTCTGGGGCCCAGCGTTGCTTACAGATCTGTCAGCCGGGCCTGGCCTGAGCCAGCCAGTGGCACGGCAGCAGATTGGGAAGAGAGAAAGGTGTGGGCGCATCTCGGCCAGAGCTGTCTGACGAGAGCCCATCTGCTCCTGAGTCCCCGGGGCCCCCCGCCTGCAGGCACACTGGAAAGGCATCAGTCGGCTCTGGCTTTGACCTGAAAAGCTCTCAAAGCCCCAGACCACCCTTGGCAGCCCATGTGACCCCGGCGAGCCAGGACATCCTACTTGGGGAGGTGCTGGCCAGACTTTGGAGGGGACATTGTGGAGATCCTCCTCCCTAAAACTCTTTAAAACAGTCTCACCCTGTGTCCCCACCCCTCCTTCCCTGAAATGGAGGCCTGAGGGTAGACCAGATGACCCGTGATGGCTGATTGATGGGTTCACCCGTTACCTGTTGGGTGTGCATTTCTCGCCCATGGGCGGAGGCCCTCTGTAGACTTTGCGGTTAGTTAGTTCTAATCCTGTCTGTGCCACTCGATGACTGGTAAAGTGATGTGCTCACCCGAGTGTCCGTTTCCTTTATCTGTAATGGGGCAGACGATGGTATTACGTCGTGTGGTTGTGAGGATCCTGATGAGATCATGTCCACGACACAGCCCGCTTTTTGCCCTCCCTGTGGACCTCACCGAGGGCTGTGGTCTGCAGGGTCAGTGGGCCACACTGGGCGGTTCTCAATGCCTTTGGCCTCTACTTGATATTCTTCCTGCAGTTAGGATCCTGGGTAGGTATTATGATGCAGTGGGTTAAGCTGCTACTTGGGGTGCCCACGTGCCATATCAGTGCCAGTCCGAGACCTGAGTACTTTGCTTCTGATCCAGCTTCCTGTTGATGTATCCTGGGAGGCCCAGTGATGGCCCAAATGCTTGGGCCCCTGCCACCCACCTGGGAAACCAAGATGAAGTTTGAGGCTCCTGGCTTCAGCCTGGCCCAACCTCCAGTGTTGGCATTTGTGGGAATGAACCAGCAGATGCAAAATTGATTTCTCTCATGCTCTTCCTTTCCAGTAGATAAAAATACGTAAATAAATATAAAAATGAAGTTAGCATTCCTATAGCCACCGGACACAGGAGCCAGGCAGAGAGAGGGAGAGAGGGATCTTCCACTGCTGGTTCACTCACACCAGCCAGGGCTGGGAGGGCCAGGTCCAAGCCAGCAGCTGCAGGTCCATCCGGGTCTCCGGTGTGGGTGGCAGAGACCCAAGTACTTGGGCCATCACCTGCTGCCTCAGGTACATTTGCAGGAGGCTGAGTCAGAAGCCAAGTGGGGGCTCCAACTCAGATATCTGCCACAGGGTGTTGGTATCTCAGCAGGCGCCGTAACCTCTGTGCCAGTGCCTGCCCCAGGAATATTGCTCTCAAAGTGTTTCTGTCATCACTCTGACCACCATTTTCCATTCCTGTGGGGAATTCTGGGAAAGCTCCAGGATAGTTCCTCCCCTGTCACCTTGGATCCCTAGCGGAGCCCACCTTTTTCTGCTGGGGAGACCCTCAGGAGCCAAGCCTTCTTCTCTCCTCTGGCCCCGACACCCAGCAAAGGAGACTGTTACAGAGTAGCCAGGCCCGGGGGCAGTCATGGCTGGCCTTCCAGGGTCCCGGCAGGATCTGCGGCCTGGAAGCAGGCAAGAGGCAGGTGCCGCTGGGGAGGACGTCTTTCATGACCGAAGCAGCGCTGGGTTTCCAGAGGAGGAGAGGCCGGGACAGGGGTCATGGAGTCCGTCCCTGGTGCTGGCCTGGAGCCCAGCTGGCAGCCGGCTCTGCCGTGTCTGGCTGGGTACCACGTACTGTGCTGATGCCAGGCCTGACACGGCTCCTTCCTCACTGACGTGGGCTGCTGGCTTCCTCAGCCCTGGTGCCCTGGGGACGGGGCGCCAGCTTTGGGCAGGCCCTTGCAGGTCCTGTCACCTTGGGGAACAAAGAGGGTATGGGACACCAGCTCACACGGCCAGAGTGCTGGTTCTCAGCTCTGCTCGTCACCCTGAGTGGCCCTGGCAGGCCACTCCCTCTTCTTGGTCTTGCCTTTACCGAAAAACTGAAGCGCAGACCAGGGATCTAAGACCTCATCCAGGGCTGCTGGCTTGTGGCGGCCTCATTGCCAGTCCCATCAGCGTGGTGAGCTGT